GGAGGGGTCTGCGCGCTACGTGGAGGCACCTGTTGTAATGCTCGTTGCCTCCAATTTCTCCTGCTACTTCATGATCTGTCCGCACTTTTGCTACGTTTCGAGCAAAAGCGAGACAAATGACGCCGTACGTGGAGGGACAAGAGAAGGAGAGAGAAGAGAAGCGGGGAGGCTGCGAGTTCCACGCCATTGAAATGCAAATACGGCAGAACAAGGAGTGGTTGTGTGTGCGTGCGCGTGTGTTTGTGTGTGCGCGCGCGTGTGTTCGCTACATGTGCATGCAGCGGGGCAAGCCGTGGAAGAGGAGGGGCGCAAATTGGACAAGTTTTTTTTTTGGGGGTGAGGGGGGAGAGGAGACTTTGGATAAGCCACACACACATACACACACACGCACACACGCGCGCGCACACACACGCACACACACTGCTGCCTCTTATGACGACTTGCAAGAGCTCCTCTCTCCTCTCGTTTTCTTTCCAGCGGATTCATTCTTTCAAGGGAAACTTGCAGGAACTTTTGAAATATCTTGTCGTGGATGCATTTGAGGAGTGTCGCCAAGCCATTGGCAAGAGCCACCTCCCTCCTCCTCCTGCACCTCCTCCGGCTCGTCGTGAATCATGTCACGCCGGAAACAGAAGAGACCCCAACACCTCGTCAACGCCGATCCGGGGGGCCCGAGGGTCCTCGCTCACGGTAAGAAATCAAACGTGGGGAGCATCGGTGTGTCTCTTGAAATGGGGTTTCTTGGTGGTCAGCTTTTGCGGCTTTAGGGGTCCCAAAGCAACAGGTTTCCGAAGCTTTTTGACGGTGTGTTGTTGGGGGCTTCTTTTTTTTTGGGGGGGGGGGGGGGGGGTAATCTTGCACCCTTCTTTCTATTGTGCTGATCTTTCAATGGCGCCCCCTTGCTCCCTTTCTCTTGCTTTTCCACTTCAGGGGAGCTCAAACTTTGTGTGTAGGGAGACATTTTTCAAAAGAAGTTCTCAGAGCCCCCCCCCACCCCGACTATTTTTTTGATGAAAATTAAAGTAAAAATGTTACAACAATAATTTTTTTCTTTTTAAACAAAGTGGTCATATTTTGAAAATAAAGTGGTTTGCCAATCCTCCGCCCCCCCCAAAAGTCAGAATCCTTACAAGAACAAAGACCTATTTTGTCATACTCCTGAAGACCCAGATATAGTCTTCATATTGTATCAAAGATGAACTTTACAGAAGGAACACATATTCATATTTCAATAAGTGAATTGCACAAATACAACTTTAGTCTTGTAAAATCGCACCTTGTAATTTAGTAAACACACTTTTGCTCAAGAAAAAAAAAATCAGAAAAAATAACGTTTTACCTTCTTATTAAAAAAAAAACAAGCTTTTTTCATTTGGGGGCAATGTCAGATGTACAGCATGACATGATACATCCCAATCATATCAGAGCTCTCCATTGGCCCAAAGCTAAGGTAGGGTTGATTGGTTGGTGTTTTTTTTTTTAAATATTTAAAAATATTTTGCAGACGTCCAAGCTACTGTGCAGTCCAGTTCCCCCAATTTGAGAAGCACTACTCTGTTGAGCTACGTTGGACTTTTCAATCCTAAAGACTTTGATTTATTTGAGAAATCACTTTACCTCTCCAGGAGGGAATAGTTAAGTTACTCTCTCCATTGTTGCGACCCCCCCTGCCCCCCCCAAACACACACACACGCACTTTGCTTTTTTTCTCACTCTGCGTTCAAGATTCTGAAAGAATTTGACCCCTGAACGGCAGAGGTCAGATGACTTGACCAATCAGAATGTGCGGACAGTGCCAGGACCCTCGGCTTGGCCTGACCCTTGACCTCCTCTGTGACGTAAGGGGGGAAGGGTGAATGGAGAGATGAAAGACAGGGACAGAGCGGGGGTAGGGGGGGGGCGGTTTAAGAGGGGTTAGGGGTTGTCTTGGTGATGCCCATTGTCCTGGGAAATGTGTTGCCTTGACAACAAGGTGGACTGGGAGCTTTTTTTTGTGTGCATTTGAGGACTTTGAGACAACACGCACGCACACACACACACACACACACACACACACACACACACACACACACACACTCAAGCTACTACTTGATTGTTCAGCGGCGTTTCTTCGGTAAATGATAACTAACCTTTTAGGTTACTTTCAAGACAGACAGGTTGAAACAGAAATGTAAAAAAAAAAGTACTATCAGAGTTACACCGCGGGTAAAAAAAAAAAAAAAGCCCATTGTGCACAACAGCGTGTATCCAACAGATTGATTATTTTGTAAACACAACACAAATCTTTTTCCTTGTGGTGGGGAGCGGCCAGGCCGAAATAAATGATGGCGACACACAGAATCAAGTGAGTCCGTTTCTGTGCCGAAACGAATGGACACAGACGAAGGATATTTGCAGAAAGTTGGCACTGATTTTGAGCAAAACGCAAAAGCGTCCTTGAATCTTTTTGCTTTTGCCGGGCTTTCATTTTCTTTCCTTTCAGATGACCTCCTGTGCATGAAGTCGCCATCCACCTCCCTCGGATCCGAAGTCACCTCATCGGGGTCCTCTTCCTCCTCCTCCCCAAGCTCACTTCAAGACTGCCAGCCCCCCTTGGCCCCTCGCCCGTCCCCCGGCGGGCTCCACGCGCCCTCTTTGCCCAACGAGAGCTCGCCCCCTCCCCATTGGCCCAACCACATCGCGACCTTCGCTACCTCCCTACCAAACACTCACTCCTCCCTCTCTCCGGACTTTCCTCACCCGTCGCTGTCCTCGCAGACCCACTCGCCTCCCCCCTTGGGTCAGACGTCCGGCTGCCAAGCCCTGTCGCATTCCACCATGGCCTCCCCGACGATTGGCGTTTCCGCCTCCACCACGACCTCCTCGTCGTCCACCCGATGCCCCCCGACTCAATGCGGCGGCGGCGACAGCCCACCTCAGCACCAGGCCTCCAACTTGCCTGCCCCCCAAGTTCTTCAGGTGCCGCCCACCCTTGCAGTACTGCTTGAGGAGCTTCGAGTTTTACAACAGAGACAAATACACCAGATGCAGATGACCGAGGAAATTTGCAGGCACGTTTTGAAGCTCGGAGGCATCGTCCTGGGGCAGGACGCCAACCCGCGAGTCGGCGGGGCCGAGAGCCAACATAAAGCCTCGTCTTCGTCGCCGGCGCACCCCTCAACCACCGCAGCGGTCACCACCCCCACCACCGCGGCGGCGCTGTTAAGCGGCCTTCCGTCGTCCCTCTTTTCCCAGCCGCCTCACTCCAAACAAGGCGCGACGCAGGTCAACGGCAGCAGAACATCGTCGTCCGTATCCGTGTCCAGCCCGTCCGTGGCCTCCCTTCATCCGCTCTCCTTATCTTTGGGGCTGCCGCCGCGCTCCTTGTCCAACGCCGCTTTATTTGCTCACGGCAACGGCGTGAGCTTCCCCGCCGTCAGTCACGCCCAAGAGCTCCCGTATGCGTCCTCAATGGGCTCCGCCTCAACGTCGGGGCGACCGCAGCACATGTGCCGCTTTTGCGGCAAGGTCCTGAGCAGCGACTCCTCACTCCAGATCCATCTGAGATCACACACGGGTGAGAGACCGTACCAGTGTCCCGTGTGCCTGAGCCGATTCACCACGCGGGGGAACCTCAAAGCTCATTTCCTGCGTCACCGAGAGCAGAACCCGGAGCTTTCCCTCTCGCTGCTGCCGCCGGCGCTCTCGGAGCAGTCGCCGAGCGCCTCGACTTCCAGCGTTGTCCAGAGGAGGAGGAAGCGCCGAGCAGACGACGACGAGTCCTTTCACGGAGTGAAAGGAAGCGTTCCCTCTAGCTTGGCGGAGAATATGGCTTTGGGATTCCTATCCAGCACATCCCCACGGCCGTCTCCTTCCTCTCTACCTCTGCCGCCCTCGGTCGACATGGCGCTGCTGTCAACGGCCCATTCCCTGCTACAGCTGAACCGGGCCTCGGCAGTTGCCGGCGCGCCGGGTTCCGTGCCGCCTGCTTCCGCGTCCTCCTTGTCCTCTTCTTCGCTGGCAAGTCAGTTCAAAGGCGTGAAGCAGCAGCGCTTTGATGAAAACACTCCTCCTCATTCAGCCCTCCACACAGCCGCCGCCTCCTACTCCCAGGTGGCTCACCTCCCCAAGATTCTTTTCCCGGGAGGTGCTTCGCCACACCACATGGCCCTCCTGCGGCCCGCGGGCCACCCGTCTGCCTCGCACCTCACGTCGGCGCATCAGCTCCCCTTCCCTTTCCCGCCGTTCCCGAAAGCGTCCGCTTCTTCGACCTCCTCCTCTCCCGCAACGTCGGCTCAGTCCTCAGACACTTCCAAGCTTCAGCGTCTGGTACAGAAGCTTGAGAAGCAGCCGCAAGAAGGGGCTTCATCTTCCTCCGCCCCCTCGCTCACCCTGGCTGATGCCAACGCCAACGGTCACGACTTGAGCACCGCCTCCAGTATCTATCACAGGGAAATGTTATCCACCTTGGGCCTCGGTCCCAATGCCACTCAAGGAGTCCCGGGCGCCAACTTGAGCGCCGCCACCTCCGCCGCTCCTTCTCTGCCCGCTACTCAAGTGGCCAATCAGTGCGGCGTGTGCCTGCGGGTCCTCAGCTGTGCTCGAGCCCTGCGCTTGCACCAGGCCACTCACCTCGGAGAGCGCCCCTTCCCTTGTAAGCTCTGCGGTCGCTCCTTCTCTACCAAGGGCAGCCTCAGGGCCCACCTGGCCACTCATCGAGCAAGACCGGCCAATTCCCGGGCGCTCAACTCCTGCCCGCTGTGCCCACGCAAGTTCACCAACGCTTTAGTCCTTCAGCACCACATACGCCTCCACCTCGGAGGGCAAATACCGCCCAATGAAGACGCGACGCAAGCGGAAGACGGCGCAGAAATGGAGAACGCGGTCTTTGTCGACGAGGCGGAGAACGACTTGGGGAGCTCACCGTCACAAGTTCAGCAGCTCCTTCCGCTGGCTCTGACAACTACGACCTCCAAAAACGCCTCTGCGAAGACAGACGCATCTTGTGACGTCAAGATGGAGGAATCGGAAGGTTCCGCACCCAGCGTTAGCCCACCTCTGAACCATAATACCCGCTTGGCAGGAGCTGAAGACCCCCTGGATCTCAGCGACAACAACCTTGATGATGGTAGCCCCTTGAATAACTCCCAAGAGGAGGCCCACGCTGATGTGGAAAGCCCCGGGAAAGAGCCATCACTTAGCTCCGGTTCTGCCGCAGTGAACGACAGTGATGGGCCTGTCCGCTTAGGCGTGTCGAAGCTCGATGAGACCAGTAAGATCGGCGACAACGATAACTCCAAATGCACGGTGACTGGAAATCCTAAAAGTGCGCACAGCCCTCCGGCGAGCCCAGCAACTTGCAGCTCGGCAGCCGACATCAGCGTCCCGCCGGAAGTGACCCAGAGCGACGGCGAGAAAGACAACGCCGCGTTCATGGCGCCGCCGCCGCCGCCGCCTCCTACTGCAGTTGAACCAGAGAAAGAGAGTTCAGAGAGCCCGGAGCCGCCCGGCACTGCGTTGGGACGGCGCGGCCAACATCCTCGCTTGGACAAACCCTACAGCTGCTCCCATTGCGGAAAGCTGTACGCCAGCCGCAGTGGCCTCAAGGTACAACTTTGTCATTGGGAAATTTAGCAACGCAACGCGCTTTAATGCAGAACTGCTTCTCATCCGCAGGGTCACATGAAAATCCACCCTGTCGCTTTGGCCGCCTCCTCCAAGGCTCAGAGCAACACGAGTGACACTGCTGAGGATTCAAGTTCCAAGGAAGAAAAGAAAGAAGGTGGTGCGGATCCGGAAGCAAAGCTTCAATGTGATGAGGCTGCCTGCTGAACTAACGGACAACATAAGATAGTGTAGTAGATACTCTTGACAGGCCAGTATCTTTTTTTTTTTTGTTCTAGTCTCTTCATCTCTTTCAGGTGATAGATGTAGTTTGCGTGATAGTGACTCGCTTTAGACTGCTTTTGTTATATTTGAAAGAGCACAGCGAGGGCTTACTGTCGACCCACTGGACAGCACATCGGCACGGCCAATATTCGATTCAAGTGCACACCAAAAGCGGCCGTATGACCTCCTACGCCTTACTTTCGCGTTCTTCGCTTTGTTCTCTCCGCTGCGTGATTGTGACGCTGCTACTGAACGTGTGCGGCGCTCCAGCTGTGAATGTCTCACTACGACCGGATAATGCTACCTGTGAGGATTGGTGACGAGGTACTCCCACGCCCTCTCCGTTAAACCATTGCCCAATGACAGTCCAGCCAAATGAGTGAAAACTTTACGACCTTTTTATATATGTGTTCCCGAGGTAATAAAACAATGGCCACGTGAAAAGCCGATGCGCTCTGTTTCCTGTGCTTTTATTGAACACTGCACTCGCTAGAATAGCATCGCTCCTGTGGTTAACTCTTCAGCTCATATTTGGGCTCCAGGAATTATGTCATAGTTACTCAGAAGTTAATCAGGTTACTGTAAGTTGTTGCAGTACTTCTAACAGCCACCAGAGGACATCATTGGGTGGGATTTGTGGATTGCTATGATATGCTGTGATTTCTTACCATTCTTATTGTGTGGTTTTTTTTTGGGGGGGGGGGTTGTGCAGATTCAATGTTGTGCATGAATAGATTGGGAAGGAGAGGTGAGTGAGGAGTGGAGAGGGGGTGGGGGTTCCTTTGTCTGCACCTAATTCAGCTTTTTCTTGCCCACCGTGCTTTTTAATATGTTCTTGTGTGTGTGTGTGTGTGTGTGTGTGTGAGAGAGAGAGAGAAGGGTAATCAAAGCCTTGACGGTGTGATTGTGTGTGCAGCTGTAGAGGCCATCACCTAACCCCCCCCCCTCCATTTCCCCCTCTCTGTCATACTTTTTCATGCACACTCTTTCATTTTCGCTTTCATTTCACTCCTTCACATCCCCCCTTCCACCCCATCCGTGTAATGAGCTGACACACAGGAAGCTCTAATCCCTACACAATACCACCCCCTCCCCCTCAAGCCACCCCGGACCCCTCCAGAGTGACTGGAAGCAGGATGGGGGTTTGAGGGGGGGGGGGAGTCAGGGACGGACCTGGCCCAGCTGTCCCCAAAATGGCAGTCTTTCATCCTCATGGTTTTTACCCTACATGGCAACCGGTCACCAAGGGAAAGAATGTCCAGGGTAGCAAGTAGCAAGTGGAACAAAGGCGCTGAGATCGCCATCAAGTGTTTCTCAATCACGCATTGATCAGTCACTTCGATAACCATTCATCGACACGCTCCGTCATTCCCAATGAAAACACACAAACGCACAACTTCAAACTGCATCCACAGCGGACGTTCTGAGTCAAGTACTTTGCAAAATCACAACACAATTAGAAAAAAAATTAAAACGATCCTTTACAGCAGTGATTCCCAACTAGTGTACAGCGAGAGCTCTTAAATTATGCCCTGGGAAATGATCAAATTTCACCGAATTGGTCAGAAAAGTAATTGATTTATCAGAAATGTAAGTTGAGGGGTTCGTTGTTTTTAGTGGATAGCTCTACTTTACTAATGACAAAAGGAGAGATGGAATCATTTAATGCAGTTTATTAAAAGGGGAAAAAAAACATCTGCACCGCAGCACGGTCGAGAACACAACTCTCCTAACTAAAATCACTTCCTGCTTCTCTTACTTTAACAGCCAATCAGAACCTATCAACATAAAAACGTGTCTAAGCAATTATTAAACAACAGAATATAATTTAGGTATGCTTAACATGAAATAATATGATGCTAAAACATAAAATGATAATTAATAAGCTTACACAAATAATGTATCTTTGGCCATCGATCCATGCTAGAGATTTATTGTGACAGAACAAATCAATGATTTTATGCTCGACGGAAGAACGCATACAATTGACGCGTGTCGACTTTTTATGACGATCCTCTGCTCAACGGTAGAAAGTACACAATTGACGTGTGTCCACTTTTTGTGACATTTTTGTTTGGTGGTGTGCCGTGAGATTTTTTGAGATCTGAAAATATGCGTCTTAGCTCATTTAAAGGTCCGGAAAGGCTGCTTTTCAATAAATCTGCGCGTTTCTAACGGCTGTCTCTTTTGAGGGACCACAAGAGGGCGCCATGTTCTCATTCAGTGGCGCAGCCTGATAAAGAACGACGCTAAATCATTCAGTTCAAAATTACGTCCAGAATATACTTGTCTGTCTGTGTGTATTCTTGGGAAGTGTAACTGTAACTTAATCTGTCGTTTTTCCGTGAAGAAGATGAACAAACATTCGAATTGAAGTGAGAAGCAGTAATAATTGTCTACAAGGATCCGTCCCTCCCCCCGTAGGCCATTATTTTCTCAAGTCTGCTGTAATCTCATTAAAGTCACTCAGGAGACACTAAAACAGTTAATTGTGACTACTCACCCCCCACACACCCACCCCGGCCCACCACACGCCTTTCCTCAGCAGAAAACACGAGTGCATAGAGGCTCAAGTGCACGAGGAAGAGGAAGCAGCAGAGGAAAAAGGACACAGCAGCTCAGCACATAGCAACGACACCGCACTTGTTTGAGCCATCTGCAAGGAAGCTGCACAAGGTACGATTTCAAGTTTTTTTTTTTCTCCTGGATAATTTGCTCATTGATCACTTTTTTTCCACACTCTCTGAATCCCCGCTATGAAAGTGACATCTATTTTTAGACGAGGAAATAAGTACCACATGAATCCAAACAGCGATCAATGACAGGGATTGATCTGTCTTTGTTTCTCTGATAAAAAAAAAAAAAAAAAAGCCAAGGGAGAATCTAACCTTGAGTAGGGGGACACTTATCGGCACCTTCTTTGAACCTTGCTCCCCATGCATATGCGGAGAGGCTGTGGCGACACTTGGATCACAAGCAAAAAAGACAAAGTCCTGAGCTGCGCCTCCTCTTCTACTCCTGAAAGGTAACAACAGCTTCTTCTCAACCGAAGCATCATAACGACACCTTCTCCTCTCCCAGGAATCTTTCCCGCTCTTCATTTGTCATTGTTGAAAGTTGACTGAAGAGTCAGTTGTCAAGAGCCGTGTTTTTACAATGTGCTTATTTTTGGCAATCTTCATTCATTCAGCGACTGGAAATACTAAGAACGAAAACAATATTTTAGATTGCAGGGTGAAGAACAGTGTGAGTCATCCTCAGGCTTCGTTTGTAGTTCCTGGTGCTGGTGGGGAGGGCTGTTGACAATAAACTTTGGAAAACATGTGAGTAGTCAGCATGCTGACACTGTGAAAGTGTTTACGATTTGAAAAGAACACCGCCAGCAGATGAACCAATAAGAAAAAAAAAAAAAAAGAACACAGAAAGCCCATTTGCGGTCCCAACGGTTAAAAGCATTCCTCACGTGAACTTGGGTTTTTCTCCACAGATGGCAGGAGACCATCTCACATAGCCGAAGACATTTTGGAGAGCCATTCGGCTTGGGCGGGTTCAGATCCTAACCGGACGGCCGGATTTAAACAAAAAAAAAAAAGTGCCTGAGTAAAACCAGGATGTCTTTTAGTCCGCTTCCAACAGAAGACCCCTCCAATGGCCGCCCCCCATCTCACAAGGCCGAAGAAACCCAGGAGTCCATGAAGCTGAAAAAGGAGATCTCCCTCCTCAACGGGGTTTGCTTGATCGTGGGCAACATGATCGGCTCGGGCATCTTCGTGTCGCCCAAGGGTGTCCTCATCCACAGCGCCTCTTATGGTCTCTCACTGGTGGTGTGGACCGTCGGCGGAATCTTCTCTGTTTTCGGCGCGCTGTGCTATGCGGAGCTGGGGACCACCATCACCAAATCGGGGGCCTCCTACGCGTACATCCTAGAGGCTTTCGGGGGCTTCCTTGCCTTCATAAGACTGTGGACGTCGCTACTCATCATCGAGCCCACCAGCCAAGCCGTCATCGCCATCACCTTCTCCAACTACATGGTGCAGCCCATTTTCCCCACCTGCATTGCGCCGTACGTGGCAAACCGGCTCCTGGCGGCCGCTTGCATATGTAAGTAGACCCCCCCCCCATCCCCACATCATTACACAGAAGTGAAACCGCATTGGAAGAAGGAAGTCTGATGCGGGTCTTTACGTTCCTGTTTTAAAATCCTGGTACCAGTCACGCTCTTTACTTTTTTTTTTTTTTTTTTTTTTTTTTTTTGCCGTGGAAACAGCAAGAAACTTCCTCGGTGCACAGCTGACCTTTCCAAGGCGACACAAAAGAGCAGCGCTGACTAATTGACCAAAGTATTGAGAAACACACGTGACATACTCGCTAAGCAAAAATGTGCCGACGCTTGGGCAACCGGAGACCTAGACAACCGAGGGCCCCAGACGCTAAGCCAGAACTTGTTGCGGAAGTCTCACAAATAACCTTTGATATGACATTCTAGGCAAAGAGCGGCCCTTTCTTTTTTAAAATCACACACACACACACACACACACACACACACACACACACACAAACACACACACACACACACACACACACGAGCATAGAGAATGATAAGGAGAGCTGATAGCTGCAAGTTAAAGTCCTTCCCAAGATGAGACTCTGACCCTAACGGCGCAAACCCAACACAACAGTCTTGTCTTCCAAGTAGCTCTAAAATGTCCCCCTTCAGCCAGGTGAGCTAATTTATTCCAAGTCAGCGTGCTAAACACGCTGATGAGACGCCAGTGGTAGTGCAACATCAAATAATTGCTTCAATGCCACTTTGGTGGGATTCTCAGGGCCCACTTTTGTCCCGGTCATTTTTTTTTTTTTTAGGCCAAATAAATGGAACTTGAAAATATTCATAGGACAGATGACCAAAAAAAAGTCTCAAAAAGACATTTTGAAGGGGGTATTTTTAATACGGCATGCCCATCTGGCTCACTTTTCAAATGTGTCGAATGAGTCCCAAAAAAAGCAATCACAAGTGTGAATAAAATGCTAAACTAACAGAGCAGCTTCCCAGCAGCATGTGCATCTCCCGTCCTCTGAAATGTGCAATCCGAGCGCATATTTTTTCTTTTCTCTCGCCACACGCTGCGGCTTATGTCGCTCCTTCTCGGGCGACCTCGGCGTGGCCCTTTGTTGTCTTTGAGCCTCCTTCCTGCCGAGTTCAAACTTATTTTGATCCCGGGAGCTGTCAATAGGCCGCAAGACGATAGCGTTGGCGTGGAGCTTTGGTGGCCAGCGCGGAGCAAAGGGGGCGCGAGTGCGTTTTTTGGTCTCTCGGGAGGGTGGCCGAGGACCGGGAGAACAACAAGGTGTTGAATGCTTGTGCTGCGCTCTGCTGTTTCATGTCCGCTCCGGTCAGCAGCGCGGCTTCCTACGACACGGAAGCGTAGCGCAAACGTCAGCAAGCGTGGATTATTATGGAGGCGTTTGAGGGCGTGCATGCGCGGTGTCAGAATGTTGTGTTGAAAAAAGCATTTTGTGTGTCCCCAACTCCTCCTGCAGGTTTATTAACCTTCGTCAACTGCGCCTATGTGAAATGGGGAACCAGGGTGCAGGACTTCTTTACCTACGTCAAAGTCATCGCCCTGATTGCGGTCATCATCACAGGCCTGGTTAAGATCATCCAAGGTTCTTTCATCGATGAATGACGCTCAGTCGTGCCGGTTGATCCTCAGCGTGGTGGTCCTCAAGGCTGATTTTGTGCGTTTTGGTAGGTCACACGCAGAACTTTGAGGGCCTCTTTGAGGGCTCGTCTCAGGATCCCGGCGACATCGCTTTGGCTCTTTACTCGGCTTTGTTCTCCTACTCCGGATGGGACACGCTCAACTTTGTCACAGAGGAGATCAAGAACCCAGAAAGGTACACGTAGAAATACTTCAACATGAGTCGAAACGGGGGCGGCCCGGCGGTCCAGTGGTTAGCGCGTCCACCTCACAGTGCAGAGGTTCAATTCCAGCTCCGGCCTCCCTGTGTGGAGTTTGCATGTTCTCCCCGGGCCTGCGTGGGTTTTCTCCGGGTACTCCGGTTTCCTCCCACGTTCCAAAAACATGCATCGCAGGCTGACTGAACACTCGAAATTGTCGCTTGGTGTGAGTGTGAGTGTGGATGGTTCAGGGTGTCGGAGAGTTGTTGAGATTTAAAAATGACAACGTAGCGGCCATGCAGAGGATCCAAAAGAGCATGTGGGCTTGTAAGAAGCAGAACCTAAAAGTCAGGTGGTTGGAGGAAGAGTTTCCGTAGATGTTTGCAGAGGGATCAACTTTAGTAGCAAAGCAGACTCGGGTTTCATCCAAACAACAGTAAAAATGTTGCACAAATAGCACATCCCCGAGACAAGACCCATGGGGAACGCCAGAGGAAATTCGAAATAAACTCAGCTTCCGTGTTCATAAATGTTCATCAAAAATGGCAGTTGAGGTGAAAGGTGGTGCGATACTGATGGAGGAGGAGGAGCGAGCCTTCCTCCCCCTCGCCCCAGCACCCCTCCATGAAATGACCTGATCCGTGCTGCTGGCTTGCAGGAATCTGCCGCTGGCCATCGCCATTTCCATGCCCATCGTGACGGTCATTTATATTTTGACTAACGTGGCCTACTACGCCATCCTGCCCATGAACGCCATTTTGGACAGCGACGCCGTCGCCGTGGTGAGTGAGGAATCTCTGCCTTTGCGGAAGAATCTCGGTCGTCATCCTCACGGTTGCGTCACGTGTCCACCCGCAGACGTTTGCAGACCAGGTGTTTGGCGTGATGAACTGGACCATTCCCTTGGCGGTTGCTCTGTCCTGCTTTGGAGGACTCAACGCTTCCATCCTGGCGTCCTCCAGGTGAGTGCGGAGAATGCCGCTCACCGTACCGCCGTCCATTTCTGTGGCCCCGCCCCATCATTTGTTTTGTTGTTGTGTTTATGAAGGCTGTTCTTCGTGGGCTCCAGAGAGGGCCACCTGCCCGACTACCTGTGTATGATCCATGTGCACCGCTACACGCCCATCCCGGCCCTGCTCTTCAATGTTCGTCACCTCACACACCCACCCACACACACTTTTGCCCTTCATTGCTGCATTCAAACATTTCTCGGCACCTCTTCCGCTTTCTTCTGCCCTGCAGGGCGTCATGGCGCTCATCTACTTGTGCGTGGAGGACGTCTTCAGGCTCATCAACTACTACAGCTTCAGCTACTGGTTCTTTGTGGGGCTTTCCATTCTGGGGCAACTGTACCTGCGCTGGAAGCAGCCGGACAGGAAGAGGCCACTGAAAGTAGGAAAGAGTTTAAAAGGCTGCGCCGAAGGCTGTCCCAACCCTAACCGCCGTTGTTCCCTTGCAGCTCAGCCTCGTCTATCCCATCATATTCTGCCTCCTCACCGTCTTCCTGGTCGTGGTGCCCCTGTACAGTGACACAGTCAACTCCTTGATCGGCATCGGCATCGCACTCTCCGGCGTGCCCGTTTACTTCCTGTGCTGCTACACTCCGGCCCACAAGAGGCCCGTGTGGTTACGGAGGATCATTGGTAAGCTAATACAACCGCAAACTTCGAACTATCCACAATATCAGTCAAAGCATAGTTTTTACTTTCTCCCGCTACGCGACTGAACAGCGCTCAGGAACCGATCCAAGGTTTCCAAAGTTTTTCCACAGCGGAACGAGAACCCCCTTTTACAATATGGTGTGCCTCTAACCCAGCTGCCGTATGTGTCCCATGTTTTTCAGCTCAGTCCGGAGTACTCATACAGAAGGTGTGCTTCTCAGTTTTAACAGAACTGGACATTGATCATGATGATTGAATACGCACGCACCAACACAAACAGGGCACGCGCGCGTACACACGCACGCACCGACTCGACTGGTAAAGGTTAGTTTTCGTGCAGAGATTTTATGTGTGGCACTACATGACTTGAAAGATCTATTTTTGGAAATGGACTGCTTCTTTGAAATGACAATTATGATACTGTATGTCTCTCCAACATTGGGAGTGCTGGTGGGGCTATTTATAATAAAAATGCTGACAAAGGGGTTTGTGTCAAGTGCTTTTCCATTTTAATGCCAATAGGAAAATCATCCGCGTTGACGACATTTAGCAATAAATATGTACACTACGCACTTCATTCCATGATGTCCTTCCATGGTCTTTTCTTGCTTGTGGCTTTCTTATCTTTGGTGGATGGCGTTGGGGTCTGCTGCAGAGGATTGTGGGTAAATGTCTGCCTCAGTGGACCTGAGAAAGGAAGAAAAAAAAAAAAAAGAAAAAGGGGGAGGAAATTTTCAGGCCAAAAATGATCATCACAATTATTTGGATCAGTACTGTAATCACGGTTGCTGATCATAATTGTTCATTTAATTCACGGAACACCTGTATTTTTTATTGAACTATTTTCAACAAACAATACGCAGTTTTCAAAACATTTTAATTTAACTAATGGTAATTGGCTGATGACTACTAGTTAAAGGACAGCATCGTCTGCATTTTAAAATGTAAATAGCAAAGATGAAAAGGTCATTTCATGGTGGCAGCCAAGAATCGTAATATGATTAAAATTTTGCTAAATTGTCTAGCTCTACAAAACAAAACCACGAGTGACGTCCTCCAAGCAAAAGCTTGAGGTCCATATCACTTCAATCACATACAAGACTAACGCCTGTCAGTGAAGGGGAATCAAGCACTTACTAGCTTGCTTCTTACTCGTCTTTGCAAAGCCTAACATGATGTTCGAGGGAAGAAAAAAAAAACTCACCCGCAATCAATGACAAACTCCGCTCACTCATCTTGACAAAACAACAAGGGAAATTTGGCAACAAAATGAGGATTCTTTTGTTTTCGGCTCAGCCGCCTCTGCACCAGAGACAAATCTGCAACTCTAGCTGCTGAATTTATCGGTATGATACTATTCGTTTCTTTGTTCATATGTGGAAAGTGCAAAGGAGAAGATCCAAGGCTGATACCTGAGCAATTAATTACATTTGATTTATAATGTACAATATAGCGCCTTTTAAGACACCCAAGGAAGCTTAGATGTACATGTATACATGCATGCCTATTCTGTCTCTCCTGTTTTTTTTTCTCTCCTTTCTCTTGCTTTGGAAAATGAACCGCAAAATGACAGGACAGACACATCACCCGAAAATCAAACAGTTGTGACCGTGGACGGGACCCTACGGCAGCAATTCAATGCTCTTCCACTAGATGGCACAATTACGCTACGCATCCCCCCCCCCACCATCTTTTGCCATTCACACAACAAAAAAGATTTTAGCAAGCCACGTGCAAAACAAGACTGAGTTCATTTCTCGATACATTGAGTAAAGTGCAACATGATTTCAGGATACAGAACACACTTTTTGTGTGTGCACGTTTCGTGGCTCGACAACGGATAATACAAGCATTTTTATAATTGAACAAAGGAATGCATCTATTTTCCACTTCCTCTCCTGGTGTAATGCCAAGACGGCGTTAGGGCATGGGGCACTTACCTTTGGCGGCAAGGTCCAGATGATTTTTGATGCGTCTGTCTCGCTCTTCCAGCTGCTGAGCCAGCTGTGCGTTCTTCCATCCTGGATGGAGGGCACAGAGAAAACGAGCTCGACATCAGAGGCCCGACATATCTCTCCCCACCACCCCCGCCCATTATGTCCTCTTCCGCGGAGGTTGAAAAAGTGAGAAGCTTATTTTGAAAAAGTAATGAGTACAAAATCCACATCTGGTTTCAATTATCTATCCAGCCATCATCTTCTGCTTATCCAGGGTCGCGTCGCCCGGGGGCAGTGCCTTAAGCACGGAAGCCCAGACTTCCCTCTAACCAACCATGGAGGGATCTGAGGCGTGCGGGAGACATAAGCCGTTTCTCAATAGCAAGAACGCAGAGAGTGGTCTTGTCAACTTGGCGACGACGGTTTTCCAAAGAACACTCGTCTCTATTTTCTTAGAAGCTGTGTGTACTTGTGAACCCCTTGCACCCTCCTTCAAAATAAAAAATGGACAAACACGAGTCCCTTCCTCAGCCATTTTGAGAGCAGCGTGAAATGTATCATGGGATATTTTCCCAGCCAAGTCACCAACCTTGCTTTAAGCTAGCAGAAAAGAACAACATTCCATGCAGTCTTGGCTTATGTGTACTTTCAATTGGAACAGGACGGCACGCCTGATGACATCACACAAGGTCATCAGGACATAAGAATGGACAGGAACGGCAATCGAGTAACAACTATTGACTCTGCGGCGTGTCTTCGGTCATCCCCAGAACTGACATGCCTGAAACACCTCACCAGAGAGCCGTCCAGGAGGCATCCTAGAACCGGATGCCCGAGCCACCTCATCTGGCTGCTATCACTGAAGAGGAGTATCGGCTTGCCTGAGTTTGATCCCCTTGTAACACATCCTCCGATAAACAGCAGTCGAGAAGGCCACAATGTCTTAAACTACATCACGACATCCCGTGCATCAATGGCAGTTTGCGATATGAGTCAATTAAGCTTCGTCACGGATCCGATTTGCGTGCGCCGTCAAGCCAACGCCTCATTTGAACTGACCTTTCTTCATGCTGTCGATGAAGCCGTCGGTTTGAGGCAGGTCCGAAGCCGGGTGATTGATCCTCTCCGGGATGCGCAGCTTGTCACGGACCACCGGGTGTTTAAGCAGCGCCACTTGAGCCAAGGAGAAGCAATTGGAGGTGAACCAGTAGGTGAACACGGCCTGAGGACACAGCAGAGGGAGGGCTCGCCCTTCATTTTTCCCTGCCAGGGTGCAAAGGACAACAAAGGAGACGGCGGCGATGACGAAAAACGCACCGTGGGGAAGTTGATGGTGAGTGGGAGGATGATGAAGGGCATGATCCGGAACACGGTCTTCATGGCGCGCAGGTTGGGGTTGTCCACGCCTGACTCGGCGCCCAGCTAAAAGCGAAATAGAGAACGTGGTGACAAAGTTGGGCGTGACAACTCGAAATGTTGATGCACATGAGGGACTCACACCTCCAGGATGAAGAACATGGTTCCCGTTACGGCCAGAGGCAGGATGTAGAAGGGATCGGCCGCCGTCAGATCCGGAAACCACAGCGTGCCTCCTGTCTGCATGCTAGGCACCGGCAAGTACGCCATCTTCCTCAGCGCCATGAAGAAGGAGATGAAGATGGGCGCCTTGGGAGGTGGACAGACATCAGTCAGACAGGAAAAAAACAAACAAAAAAAAAACCCCCACAATCTCCAGATAGTGGCAAATACAAACGTTTCCAGACAGATACCGACTTGCACCAGAGGGATCAGAAAGCCGCGGATGGGGTTGACGTCGTGCTTCTTCTGGAACAACGTGAGGTCGGTGTAGGCTTTGGCGACTGCAAAGGACCCGCGAGAACGTCAGCGCACGCAAAACTTAAGCAGAGCGAATGGGATGGGAGCGGAATTTACATTCAAATTTGTTGCCGCTCTGTTTGGCCTCGGTCATCCTGCCGCTGAGGCGGGTCATCTCGGGCATGACGTTGTTGAGTTTGGCCGCCTCCCGCTGGCCCTTCACGATGACGGGAAAGACGGCCAGGCGAGCCACCACCGTCCCTGGCGACACACAAACAGTCCACCTTGATTCAATCACGGAACCTTCCCAGGTTTTTGCCTGTGACTTTTCAAAATGAATCATTTTACAAGCCTTGAAGGGCTTGGCTGCCAGCTCCACTAAATTTCAAATTCTACCAGCTTACTCCCGACAAGTGTGTTCTCAAAGATGTGATTTACTAGTTGCTTTTCTTGAAGTTGCGGTTGCTTACCGACAACAATGGCTGCCCACCAGGGCAGGCCCACGTCCACGTGCATGAACTCTAGCAGGTTCTGGATGACACCCACCGGAGTGTGGCCAGCCAAGCCCAGCTCGGCCAGACGGGCTTCCGGATCGGCAGCCTGGAGGACCTCCGCCGCGTCCGAAACTGACTGCGTCAAGCACGGGGCGGGTGCGTCTCCCGTCGTCACGGAAACAGGCCCAGGCGGGACCTGGAAGCACCCACCACGTATAAGGTGGCACTTTGGCAAGTTTGTCTCACTTTAGCTGTTGTTCTACCCACCTGATCGGGAATGGCTTGCTGAAGGACCCCGACGCTGTTGGCCACCACGGGGCTGCCCTCACTCAGCATCTGGGTTTGAAAGAGAAAAAAAAATCATTCGGAAATGTCAGTGCTGATGACTGCTTATGAGTTTCAATTTGCCAACTGACCTGGGTGCTGTTGTGTCTCACGCCCACGCAGAGGAGCTTCTCATGGCGCCGCCTGCACAGCACTGATGGGGTGCCACCGGCCCAACTGTTCAAGTCAAATGCCGTGTGCACATGAGACCTTTGGAGCCAGCACTAGTTTTGGTGAGAGGAAGAGCAACAGGCTAACGTAAGAAGCATGTGGGTGAGCGGCTCTAAAACATTTTTGGGGTGGGAAATTGGCAAACTGAATGCAAATTATATGTGCAAACTCTTGAGAATGTAGATGCTCAGCAGGCAGGATTCAAGAAGGATTCAATTGAAAACCATTCAATTATTTTCAATTGAGAATGCAGAAAATGAACCAAAAATAGCTACTGGTTTAGTCCATCACATGACAGAAAATAAGCAAAAATGTTGATCAATGTTTTCCATAGCAAAAGCAATTTTTAACTTTTGATTCAACACAAGTGGGCACGGTGGTCGACTGGTTAACACGCTGGCCTCAGGGTTAAATTCCGGATCTGGCCTTCCAGTGTGAAGTTTGCATGTTCTCCCCCTGCCTGCGTGGGTTTTCTCCGGGTACTCCGGCTTCCTCCCACATTCCAAAAACACGCATGGCAGGTTAATGGAACACTTTTTTGGAACACTCTATAAACTGTCCCTAAGTGTGAGCGCTTTTTTTTTTTTTTTTTTACAGTTCAGTATCAAGGGTTAGGGTTACATTTATTTCACGTTATAACGTACTACCGCAAGACAATACATCTTTATTGATATAGCGCGTTCACAACAGCTGCGGCTGTAATGTGATGACAAGCGGATAAATTCATACGAATTCTTGAGTGTGGTTGACAAGAATCTGACGTTCTTGTCAAAGTCACAGTCAGCCTGACGGGCAGTAATGCGAGCCTATCATGATCGCGTCGGGAATGAAGCGACATTAAGTTGAAGAGCGAGGGAAACATACGTGCTTCCAAATGTCCGAGCAACGTTGCCTGCCCGCGTTGGGTTTCGGACTCTGTGTGAAGACGAAGCGTCCCGCGAGACAAGCTGGAGTCAAGCGGTTCCTGATGGCCGCCATCTTGCTACAGGAAATGACATACTACGGAAACCGAGAAAAAAAAAGGAGCACACTATTTGGAAAGCGTTTTTCAATGCCAAATACTTAATGTTGGGATGGAATTTCCCGAGAAGACTTCTAGCAAAGTTATCGTCTTTTCTATCATTAGTGAAAAAAAACATTTTTTTCCCAATAAATATAATCCAATATAATCAATATTTAACCTGATTTTTCACATTAACGACAGTAGGAAAAAATACTTAGGGAACATTGCTGAGCCTATCGTAAAAAATAGGGGAAAAAAAGGAAACAAAATTAAAAATGGATAAGGCAGAGTTACATTGTGGACATGCAAATTACTTTTAACAATAACTCAGTCTTCTTATTTTGGCACGGCACTGCTCGACTGTAGGCAATTAAAAGTCCTTGTAAAAAAAAAAATGGAAGAATAAGTTTGTGATTACTAGTGACGTGAGAGAAATCGTTCGAATGTTGCCATCGGAAGTAGACTTGACGTCACGAGCACTACCGGATGTCGGTCGGTCACTTGTTGTCTGTAGTTCTTTGCTTTTAAGTTCGTCAGGCCGATTTGCAGTCTTGAGCGCGGTCAAGTCGACATGAAGCCGCCACCTCGCACGCGCAACAAACCAGATCGGAACCTGAACCCGAACCCTGAGCCAACACAATCCAGGCAACCCTGCGCTTGGTCCCGAAAGGAGCAGAAGATGCTGTTGGACGCCCTGAGGAGGCAAGGCTCTTCCTGCGGCGGAGGCTCGCCGGGGAACATCGACTATAGTCTGCTGAAGAAGGATGTTCCTTCTCGCTCCGATTCTGAGGTTCGCTACGGTCCAGTCTTCCAAGCAGTTGTTCCGACAAAACAGCGCTTTGGGTGTCGCGTGCACACATTCATCGGTGGGCTCTTTTGCCAATCATCTGTCCACTCGTTCCCTAATCGATGTGTAGGGATTTTTGGTTAGGTAATTGAAAATGGTTTTGGAACGCTGCTCGTGTGTCAGCTATGTCGCCATTACAGTTGCATAATTACAAGGTCGGTTGGACATTTTTTTGAAAAACAAACATTGAACCACTTGGTTTAATATTTTTGCGCCACAACTGATGAAATTATCTCGTGACGAAACTCAAACACCACCCCTGGGCCCAATGCACTAGGCTAGGGGATATATTTGATTTTCTCGTGACAGTAGTTCACTACGTATTGTGGAGTACGAAATGCCCAAGTCATCACAATACAGAGTTCTAAACTCCAACCGAGGGTTTCGGGCGTGCTGAACCCTGTCGCAGCGGTCTCCGGGCAGTAGGCGGGGTACACCCTGAACTTGTCACACTCACAATTTAACTATAATTCACTAAAATGAATGTAATGCCAAACACACTAAAAAAAAGTTGGCTCAAGACACTTTACACATAGAGCAGGTTTAGAAGCACCCTCCTCATGTATTCAAAGACCAACTGAGCCCCACCTGAGCAAGTACTAAGAGACAAGAGAAAACAAAAACTCACTCACCGCCGACTATTACTGGAAGGAGGACGAGCAACAAATCGGCGAGGGAGAATGCAGATCTGCAGATGCAGTGGGTGATGACATATGAACCAATAGGTTACAGAAGTGCAACAAAAAAAAAAAACATAATTGTCTTTCAATGTCCAACATTCAGACACGGTTTAACGCTTTGCAAGAATCGCAACACTGCTTCGGTCTTTGCAGATCCGGTCTGTGGTGCAACGCCTCCAGGACAAGGTGATCTCTGGCGCCATCTTGCAGCTGAAGACCAGGACATTGGCAGAGAAGAAGATGGCGCCCATCCACACATGGACCCGTTTGGCCCGGGTCGTGTCCGGGAGCTTCGACGGTCCGCTTTCCAAGGCGTTCTCTCAGGTGCCGCAGGCCAAATGACGCTCAGACAAATGTATGTGTTGCTCACCAAAGTTTTCTTGCCAGCAGATCTGGACTGTGGCGTCCACAGAGCCTCACACCCTCAGGAACTGCCAACCGCCGCGGCTGGAAGCAGCACAAAGCGACACCAGAGATTGTACCGCCCCTCTCGGACCAGCGCCGGCCCAAGGTATGGACCAGGATGCGGACGGGATCGGGACCAAATGTCTTGCAACAGTATGTTTGGTTCTTTGTGTTTGTCCAAGTCCCGTTCAAGAGTCCAGTAGCCAGCACGGGTCCGGCGCCAGCCCCAGTGATCCCGGTTGAGCAGCCGAGCCTTTCGGGTATGACCGCCTCCAAAGACTTCAAGGTGGACTTTGAGAGGATTTACAACTATCTGAGTGGCGTCCACAACCCTGAGGGCGAATGTGAGCTTACAGCCACAGGTGAATGCGGGCGACCGATCCAGTGCCAAGCTAACGCTCATCAAAACTCAGCAATTCTAGATCATTACAACTTTTGTACCGTATTGACCCGAATATAAGACGGCCCTGATTATAAGACGACCTCCTCTTTTTCAAGACTCAAGTTTGAAAAAAGACTTTTTGAACACCAAATAAATTTTTATACAGAAAATAATTACAGTACATCTGAAACAAATGATTCTAACAATATATTTGAGAGAAAAAGCATGTTATTTTGCCTCATTCAAATCTTAATATCTGAACATTTAAATATGTAAACTAAAGTGCAATCACATTCGTAAATGAATGGCTTCTGGTTTTTGAAATGTAAATTACATCATAACTTTTCATCAGCTGCCGGTTAACCTGGCCGATACTCGACCCACTTTTCTTCAGATTGTCGCTACGTTTCTCCATTTTCTGTTATCTCTTCTATTATTTTCTTCTCTTTTCTTTCTTACCGCTATTTTTTATTTTTCTTCTTTGTGCTACCGCTATTTTTATTTTTATTCTTCGTGACACGGGTTCACTTTGGCCTGGGGAGTCAAGTTCAGCATTCGCTTCCATGATATCTGGCGCCATCTAGCGTCGTGAATGGGTATAACCGTTATATATTCGGGGTCTAGATGTTACCCCGAATATAAGACGACCCCCACTTTTTCAGTCTTATTTCAATGCAAAAAACATCGTCTTATATTCAGGCCAATACGGTACTTCAGTTTGTACTTTTTGTATTACATTTAATTTAGTCAACAAGTTGAATCAGCACTCGATTATTCTACACAAGCATCTTGACCGAGTGAGTTCTTTTGCCACCTGTGTCAACTCTCTTATCGTGTCGTGTTCCTTAAGAGAGCGCCATTGTCTTGGACCTGGTGATGTCTCTCCCGGAGGAATTGGGCCTCCTGCGCTGCCAAAGCCTGCGCCAACATCTCATCCAGGTTGAGTCACTCCCACAACAAGGAAAAGACCGACACTGAGAGCCCAGCCCATCAATGTGGACTAATTGCAGCCCTCCTCTCCACCTCACAGGCGCACCAGAACTTGTCCGAAGCCGAGGATTCTGAGAAGGCCCGAAAAGTGCTGACGGAGCTGGAGAGTAAGCGGCAGGGAAGCGATCAGGAGTCTCAGCAGAACGTCGAAGACGGCGCCATAGGGCCAGCATCAGGGAGCGGCGAACCTGCGTGGACGGGACTGTGCCCCCCACTCAACCCTTTCATGATTCCACTGGAGCTGCTGAAGCGAAGATCGGACTTCACGTTGCTTTGACGCACGCGACATCGTTGTCGGATTTGTACATTCAGTTTTGTATTGCTGTTTTTTTTTTTTTTGTTTTGTTTGGTTTTTTTTGACCCAATTAAAACTATCTACTCAAAAGGCCGATCTTCTGGTGAACGGACAAATGGCTTTAGTGATCCTTGTGACTCGAGTGTCAAAAGCAGGAATACTACCATCGTCCATATAATGACCCGCTTATATGAGCTCAATGGCCTATTTTTAATCTTCCATATGACACGGACTGTTGATGACGTAGCAACTACAGCACTCAAATTAGGAGCAGGACTTAATATCATGACACATGGGACACCATCATCATCATCATAACTCTCATATCAGAAACAGGTTTGGAACAACGTCAAGAACATAACTGATGGTTGTGGGCAGTGGCTCAGCCCCTATCACCTGTGAATACCCCTCATTGTGAAAACTGAACATCACCACCAAAACGGGACTGTCATTTGGTGTATTGGTTGTGGCATGCAAAATACAGCAATAATCCAACATGGTGCGTTGAAAACCTGAAATCACTGCATGAAGCCCGCGATGAGGCGTGGAACACTTTTACTGCTTTCCGACTTTTGCCCATCACAAAGGAAGGTTGCGTAAACTGGCAATCACTCATTCCACCCATTTACCAACAGCAAATACAAATACTTGGTATGACCTGAACTAGTATTTGATTTGACTCATTGGAAGGGGCCCGGCGCCACCACCATGTTCCGCTTGGGAAATCCGATCAGAACATAACAGCAGGTATAATGTTGCAAATGACGTATCGGGAAGCAACAGGTTGAATTTTACCACTTGTCGTAAAAAAAAACAACAAAAAAAAAAACCGCTGGCTGAGTGACGCTTCCCGCTATTGAGGTGCGAGAGGGCAGAGTGCAACGGCGTGGCGATGCTGTCCTCCATACGGAACTTGTGTTCGGCCTTATCACCTTTATCAGTGACGGCGCTTTTTCCACACCTTAACTGGGTGGAGGAAAAAGCAAATGTTCTTATAGACACCTTGCCAAAGTCCAAGCAGCTCACAGCTTGTGTCATTCATCAGCGCCGACTGGGATGTAAAGTCACGCTCATGGCGTCGTCGTCTTCAGCCGTGATTCTTGCTGTCCTACTCATCGGCCTGTCTTCTGCCGATGGTAAGTTTGAGGTCAGGCTTCATCGGTCGTCTGTTCGGAAAAAGGCTGCAAACAATATGAAACAGATTCACCGATGCTATATGACATACGTAAATGCAGTGGAACTGATATTTTGGTTTTTAAGGAAGTGCCATGTTCGACACTTGCCAGGCATTAAAACGCCCTTTTCTTGAACAAGAGTTCTTGTTTTGTGACCTCTCTTGTTGCGACCTGTTTTATTCCTCTCTCGGAGAAACCATTTACATTTATTTTCACCAGTGATTGAACAGACAGACCTCTGAACATATCCGTGGAGCTTTTAGGGAGACTCTTGGTCTTCATAACGACTCAGTGATCATCGCTGGATGTATTATCGACGGTTTTATAAAAAAAAAAAAAAAACATTGTTCAGTGATAGGTTTGTTTTAAAATCCTTTAAAAAGCGCATGACTCTTTTATGTTTTCATTTAATCTAATGAATTCTATTTTTGCAACGATTTCATAATTAGGATTCATGATGGTGAATTGTCTGTCGTTACTTATATCAGTTTCAACCCCTTTTTGATTGAACAATCACATTACACCCTGAAAAAATGTTTCCCTCATGTAGACTGTCATTTAACAAATGCTTCTTCGTAAATCATAAACATCTTCAACAGATAAGTACAATTGGTGAAATTCTGTTTAGAGGCCATGACGACCAGGACTTTTTCCAATATGAAGTTTGATCTCTTGTAGTTCTTCCTCTTCTTTTTTTTTTTTTTTTTTTTTTTTTTTACCCAGCCAATGAAAGAAATTCTGGCATGTTATGTGAGGGTTTTTTTTTTCAAAATGTGTCTCCACTGTATTGATATCAAATAGAATTGTCTCATATGAATCACAGTTCTCTAATTGAGTCCCCTTTTTTTCTTTCACTGATGATAGCGTCACAGTGCAGAGGTGAAGGGTTCGATTCCAGCTCGGGCCTACCTGTGTGGAGTTTGCATGTTCTCCCCATGCCTGCATGCGTTTTCTCCGGGTACTTCAGTTTCCTCCCACCTTCCAAAAACATGCATGGCAGGTTCATGTAAAACTCTAAATTGTCCCTCGGTTTGAGTGTGAGCGCAGATGTTTGTTCGTCTCAGTGTGCCCTGCAATTGGCTGACAACCGGTTCAGGGTGTCCCCTGCCTACTGCCCAAAGACGGCTGGGATAGGCCCCAGTACCCCCCGGGACCCTTGCGAGGATAAGGCGGATCGGAAAATGGATGCATGGATGGCGATTCACTTTCCATTATTTGCAGTACAACAGTAATACAGTAATTCACTTCAGGCTACTAAATTACAGTGTTGTTCTACTTCCAGTTCCTCATCGCATAGAAAACTACAATGTACCAGAAAATGCCATCTCGAGAGCTACCCCAGACCTGGGTGTGACCATGGACCCAGCCGGTCAAGCATTCTCAAAAGCTCTCCTGGGCTCCTGCAAATCCCTTTGACGCTCCCAAACACACACACACACCTGGACAGACACCACACACACACACACACACACACACACACATTCCTTTGATACCTTTTATATTCTTTGAAACATGACCCTTGGCGGCCCAGTGGTCAAGTGGTTAGCGCAACGACCTCACAGTGCAGAGTTCGTGGATTCGCTCCCGGCTCCGGCCTTCGTGTTTGGAGTTTGCATGTCCTCCCCGGGCCTGCGTAGGTTTTCTCCGGGTACTCCGGTTTCTTCCCACATTCCAAAAACATGCATGGCAGGCTGATTGAACACTCAAAATTGTACCTACGCGTGTGTGTGTGAGCGCGGATGGTTGTTCGTCTCAGTGTGCCCTGCAATTGGCTGACAACCGGTTCAGGGTGTCCCCTGCCTACTGCCCAAAGACGGCTGGGATAGGCCCCAGTACCCCCCGGGACCCTTGCGAGGATAAGGCGGATCGGAAAATGGATGCATGGATGGCGATTCACTTTCCATTATTTGCAGTACAACAGTAATACAGTAATTCACTTCAGGCTACTAAATTACAGTGTTGTTCTACTTCCAGTTCCTCATCGCATAGAAAACTACAATGTACCAGAAAATGCCATCTCGAGAGCTACCCCAGACCTGGGTGTGACCATGGACCCAGCCGGTCCGGCCACAACGGACCCAACTGGTCCGGCAACAACCGATCCAACCGGTCCAGCCACAACGGATCCAGCGGGTCCAGCCACCACCGAGCCAGCCAGTCTGGGGACAACCGATCCAGCCACAACGGATCCAGCGGGTCCAGCCACCACCGAGCCAGCCAGTCTGGGGACAACCGATCCAGCCACAACGGATCCAGCGGGTCCAGCCACCACCGAGCCAGCCAGTCTGGGGACAACCGATCCAGCCACAACGGATCCAGCGGGTCCAGCCACCACCGAGCCAGCCAGTCTGGGGACAACCGATCCAGCCACAACGGATCCAGCGGGTCCAGCCACCACCGAGCCAGCCAGTCTGGGGACAACCGATCCAGCCACAACGGATCCAGCGGGTCCAGCCACCACCGAGCCAGCCAGTCTGGGGACAACCGATCCAGCCACAACGGATCCAGCGGGTCCAGCCACCACCGAGCCAGCCAGTCTGGGGACAACCGATCCAGCCACAACGGATCCAGCGGGTCCAGCCACCACCGAGCCAGCCAGTCTGGGGACAACCGATCCAGCCACAACGGATCCAGCGGGTCCAGCCACCACCGAGCCAGCCAGTCTGGGGACAACCGATCCAGCCACAACGGATCCAGCGGGTCCAGCCACCACCGAGCCAGCCAGTCTGGGGACAACCGATCCAGCCACAACGGATCCAGCGGGTCCAGCCACCACCGAGCCAGCCAGTCTGGGGACAACCGATCCAGCCACAACGGATCCAGCGGGTCCAGCCACCACCGAGCCAGCCAGTCTGGGGACAACCGATCCAGCCACAACGGATCCAGCGGGTCCAGCCACCACCGAGCCAGCCAGTCTGGGGACAACCGATCCAGCCACAACGGATCCAGCGGGTCCAGCCACCACCGAGCCAGCCAGTCTGGGGACAACCGATCCAGCCACAACGGATCCAGCGGGTCCAGCCACCACCGAGCCAGCCAGTCTGGGGACAACCGATCCAGCCACAACGGATCCAGCGGGTCCAGCCACCACCGAGCCAGCCAGTCTGGGGACAACCGATCCAGCCACAACGGATCCAGCGGGTCCAGCCACCACCGAGCCAGCCAGTCTGGGGACAACCGATCCAGCCACAACGGATCCAGCGGGTCCAGCCACCACCGAGCCAGCCAGTCTGGGGACAACCGATCCAGCCACAACGGATCCAGCGGGTCCAGCCACCACCGAGCCAGCCAGTCTGGGGACAACCGATCCAGCCACAACGGATCCAGCGGGTCCAGCCACCACCGAGCCAGCCAGTCTGGGGACAACCGATCCAGCCACAACGGATCCAGCGGGTCCAGCCACCACCGAGCCAGCCAGTCTGGGGACAACCGATCCAGCCACAACGGATCCAGCGGGTCCAGCCACCACCGAGCCAGCCAGTCTGGGGACAACCGATCCAGCCACAACGGATCCAGCGGGTCCAGCCACCACCGAGCCAGCCAGTCTGGGGACAACCGATCCAGCCACAACGGATCCAGCGGGTCCAGCCACCACCGAGCCAGCCAGTCTGGGGACAACCGATCCAGCCACAACGGATCCAGCGGGTCCAGCCACCACCGAGCCAGCCAGTCTGGGGACAACCGATCCAGCCACAACGGATCCAGCGGGTCCAGCCACCACCGAGCCAGCCAGTCTGGGGACAACCGATCCAGCCACAACGGATCCAGCGGGTCCAGCCACCACCGAGCCAGCCAGTCTGGGGACAACCGATCCAGCCACAACGGATCCAGCGGGTCCAGCCACCACCGAGCCAGCCAGTCTGGGGACAACCGATCCAGCCACAACGGATCCAGCGGGTCCAGCCACCACCGAGCCAGCCAGTCTGGGGACAACCGATCCAGCCACAACGGATCCAGCGGGTCCAGCCACCACCGAGCCAGCCAGTCTGGGGACAACCGATCCAGCCACAACGGATCCAGCGGGTCCAGCCACCACCGAGCCAGCCAGTCTGGGGACAACCGATCCAGCCACAACGGATCCAGCGGGTCCAGCCACCACCGAGCCAGCCAGTCTGGGGACAACCGATCCAGCCACAACGGATCCAGCGGGTCCAGCCACCACCGAGCCAGCCAGTCTGGGGACAACCGATCCAGCCACAACGGATCCAGCGGGTCCAGCCACCACCGAGCCAGCCAGTCTGGGGACAACCGATCCAGCCACAACGGATCCAGCGGGTCCAGCCACCACCGAGCCAGCCAGTCTGGGGACAACCGATCCAGCCACAACGGATCCAGCGGGTCCAGCCACCACCGAGCCAGCCAGTCTGGGGACAACCGATCCAGCCACAACGGATCCAGCGGGTCCAGCCACCACCGAGCCAGCCAGTCTGGGGACAACCGATCCAGCCACAACGGATCCAGCGGGTCCAGCCACCACCGAGCCAGCCAGTCTGGGGACAACCGATCCAGCCACAACGGATCCAGCGGGTCCAGCCACCACCGAGCCAGCCAGTCTGGGGACAACCGATCCAGCCACAACGGATCCAGCGGGTCCAGCCACCACCGAGCCAGCCAGTCTGGGGACAACCGATCCAGCCACAACGGATCCAGCGGGTCCAGCCACCACCGAGCCAGCCAGTCTGGGGACAACCGATCCAGCCACAACGGATCCAGCGGGTCCAGCCACCACCGAGCCAGCCAGTCTGGGGACAACCGATCCAGCCACAACGGATCCAGCGGGTCCAGCCACCACCGAGCCAGCCAGTCTGGGGACAACCGATCCAGCCACAACGGATCCAGCGGGTCCAGCCACCACCGAGCCAGCCAGTCTGGGGACAACCGATCCAGCCACAACGGATCCAGCGGGTCCAGCCACCACCGAGCCAGCCAGTCTGGGGACAACCGATCCAGCCACAACGGATCCAGCGGGTCCAGCCACCACCGAGCCAGCCAGTCTGGGGACAACCGATCCAGCCACAACGGATCCAGCGGGTCCAGCCACCACCGAGCCAGCCAGTCTGGGGACAACCGATCCAGCCACAACGGATCCAGCGGGTCCAGCCACCACCGAGCCAGCCAGTCTGGGGACAACCGATCCAGCCACAACGGATCCAGCGGGTCCAGCCACCACCGAGCCAGCCAGTCTGGGGACAACCGATCCAGCCACAACGGATCCAGCGGGTCCAGCCACCACCGAGCCAGCCAGTCTGGGGACAACCGATCCAGCCACAACGGATCCAGCGGGTCCAGCCACCACCGAGCCAGCCAGTCTGGGGACAACCGATCCAGCCACAACGGATCCAGCGGGTCCAGCCACCACCGAGCCAGCCAGTCTGGGGACAACCGATCCAGCCACAACCAATCCAACCGGTCCGGCCACAACGGATCCAGCCGGTCCAGGCACCACCGAGCCAGCCAGTCCGGGGACAACCGAGCCAGCCGGTCCGGCCACAACTGACCCAGCCGGTCCGGCCACAACCGAGCCAGCCAGTCCGGGGACAACCGAGCAGCTCAAGACCACCGACCCAGCGAGTACAGTACCACCATCATCAACACCAGAACCTTCATCAGATCCCATATCTACACCAAAACCCACCACATTAGCTCCAGGGACAACAACAACAATTCACTGCCAAAACGGAGGAACGTTCAGTGGCGGCATTTGCAACTGTGCCAGCGGATTCCATGGAAATGCTTGCCAGTTCCTGAACGAAACCATACAGTTTGGTATGTGCAATTCCATCTGCAACATGCGGCCACATGCTATATTGCCTTGCCCTGATTGCGTTGCCCGTGTACTGCAGATCGCATCGAACGGTTGGTGAAAATTCAAATGGTGATCGACCAGGAATACAACCCCAATTACGACAACACCAGCTCAAAGGATTACAGAAACTTCGTTGATGAATTTATCAAGGAGGTGAACATATCGCAGTCTGTCCTCACTTAACAAGTTCATGAGATGATCATGAGAGGAGATGTGCGTTGTTCATCGTCACGATTTGATTGTACTCGTCAAATTTGTGTTGTTTCCCAACAGCCTTCTGTTTCGTTCCGTCTTGTTGATTTGCATAGTTTGGATCATGTCGAGAAAACGTTCAAGTGAAGAGCAAAGATGCGGACTCCGCCTTTGAAGCTAAAGTCCAAAGCAAATTTCTATTTTCAAACGTGAATTGAGAAGAGGGGAGCGGCACTCCGTTCGTGCATTATTCAGTAACTATACAGTAACCATGTGCCCCATTTGAATGCCTATTCTGTGTATTCACATACACTCCATGACTCATGCTTAGATTTGCGCAAAGTGTATTTGTCACAGAGTATACACAAAGACAGTCACCGGAATCGTCCAATCGTACTCACATCTAGCGCACTGAAAGATATCAATCCAATGTTCTCTTCAGAGAGAGTTTTGTTTTCTATGGAGATGGTTCTTTAATTTGAGGATATTGTTACTCTTTCAGATGGAGGACTTTTACCGAGAAAAAAGCCTGCAAAAACTTGTCAAAGTGGTGGTAACCAATGTTAGGTAACGCCAGTCCAACAAATCAAATTTTCTTGACCAGCAGTCGGGCCGATGGCTAAACGCTTATGTTTGTTTCTCTCAGCCGAGTGGCCTCGCCAATGTTGATGAGACGTTCGGCCTCTGCACTGGAGCGGGTAAAGCCAACCAACCATCTTTGAGATTGGATATCACATCGGCCTTGGTCGATAAGAACAATAATACAGGATTATCTTTATTGCAGCGCAGATTAGCCATCGACGCTACGGCCACCCGCAGAGTCACACCAAGACCACAAGGGTAATTAGACAACGGAAAAACACACAAGCACACGGATGGTGACCAATAAGTGTGGATTGCAACACAAATGACTTATTTATTTCCTTTTTGGGGGGCTTAAAATCAAGCGTCCCTGAAATTCAGGATCGTCATCCAATTGTGTTGAAATATTTTTTGCTTTGCGTGCGTTGCGTTTCAGCGTCAACGTCAGCCACGATGTGGTTTTGTCGATCACAAACCAGCTGAACATCGGTGACCAAGAATATCAGTTCGAAGTGGATACGATCGATATGGCTCTGAAAACGCTGATTAACTGCACAACAGGTGGGCTGCTACACTACAAATGACCTACAGTCAATTTAGTCAACCGCTGGGTCGGATAATTGTGAAGGCTCTGTCACCAGCCTGCTCCAGCAAGTCTCGCAAGAGTCAACCATCCCAAAAGAGAGACTCTAAGTGACCCAGGTCATGGTCATTCGCAAATGGAGCCCCCTGGACTTGTGTTGCTTGTTCAAGATAATTCACCTTTAATTCAAAAAGCTTTTTCAACTCCACACTGATTTTACATTTATGTGTGAAGAAGCCTTTTGGATTGCAAATGAAAAATATCAACAACCACCAAGAGCCCAGTTGCCTCCATTCGTGTTTACGGTTGACTGACAACTCTGAGATCTTATTTGACCTGCGCTCGCTTCTCTGCAATGACTTCCAACCCAGTTCAAATGAATTTGAAAGTGGTCCTTGTTACTCAAGCGTGAGAGCACAGATGTCAAACCCTGGTCCTCGAGGGCCGCTATCCTGCGTGTTTTTATTTTAGATGTTTCTATCCTTCAACGTACCTGACTTAAGTTATCAGATCATCTGCAGGAGCCTGATCGTGATTTTTGAGTCAGGTGTGTTGCAGGAAGAAAAAAAAATCTACAACATGGAGGAGACCGGCCGTTTGACACCCGCTTCCTAAAGTGTCGACACCTAAGTTGTGTTGTAAATTTATGCTGGAGAAATGAAGCGGACATATTGAACAAATGAGGGACTGACAACAAATGAAATACTGAATCATAAAAACACCTCTTTTTTTCAGTTTGCCCCTACAATGTGACAGAGACACCGATTGTGAATGAGACTGAAGTGAATAGGAACAGTAAGTCTATTTCAGTCAGTCGCGAGTGTGAAGCTTGGAAATGATAAGCCCTCTGCTCGTCGTCTCCCTCCAGCACTTTGCAACTCGTACGTGTTGGATCCGGACATTGCCCAGCACTACAAGGCCGTGGACTACAACAACATGCTGGTGTGCGTCACTCGATGCAAAAGAAGTTACGGCTCGGATTTTCTTCGCTGCAACAACGATGGAGTGTGCAGAGTTTCCGCGGGTGTCGGTGCCGTTTGCAAGTCAGTCCTCGTGGAGCATTTCATTTGTCTTCGCTATCGACACTTTTGTGTCACGACCACCACATTCTGACTTGGTCTTTGCGCATGTTTTCAGTTGTAAGGATTTGGGATCCACGTGGTACTTAGGCATTGACTGCGGGTTGCCTATCCAAAAAGTTCCCTTCTATGCCGGTTTGGTGGTCACCCTGGTTTGTCTCCTAGCCACCATGGCAGGCTTGACCGCGTACGTGATCATCAACAAGAAAGAGCAGACAAGGTACGGTGGGCTTTGGCCACAACAACGGTATTAGTGTGAGAAGATTTCATTTTGGGCTTTTGGAAATCTCTCTCATGGAGATTTCTGAACTGATTCACACCATTCCATTCGTCAAAATAGTAATAGAGGACATCCGAGAAGCTTTTTTTGTTTTTAATGTGTGTTAGCATATACATAAGGAGCGTGCAAGACAATTCAATACGATCTCAATACGATTTTCGATATGTGAGGAACGCGGCAATTCAAGGACGCTTCGATTTGAAAGTGGAACGATTCTGTTCGGTGCAATTCAGTGGGATTACGGTTTGATTCAAGACGGTACAGCTCACCTCAAGAGGGTGTAGTGCAATGCCTTTGTTGTCATTTTACGTCTATTTGAATGAACCTGTCACAACTGTAACTGTGCTATTTCCTTCCAAAACGTAGGTCTCCAACGAGTTTTCAAAGTGGAACGATTCGATTCGATTTGATGCACTCGCATCTTTGGAATCAAAAAAACAATTGGCCTTTTCAAACAATGTTAGTATTTGAGAATTCTCAGTAGAAAAAAAAGCACAAAGATCCAAAAGCATCCATGGCGGCGATTACAGCAATCACCATTCGATTAGGGCGACGATTCTGAATTTTTTTTCGTCCTGTTTTTAACTTTTCCATGCTCACATTCTAGATTTGTTTTCTTCTAATTCTCCAGCAATTCCTTCAGCATCAGCAAATCAGCCTTCACGCGCAATTTCCACACAAACCGCAGTCTCTACTTTCTGCACACTACTTTTAGGCTGCCATTTTATCATATTTGTCCGTTTTCATTGAGTTTCGCATGCGTGCATGTCGGATTCCACAAACATTGTTCTAATCACCACCTCCAGGAAAAAAGACATGAAAAAGAAGCTGGTGAACAACTGGCTCAACGACGAATTCGAGTGGTCCCGATCCGAGAAACTCTCGACAGGCACCTTTAATGCTGGTAAGGCATCTATCTCTGCTTTTACTGTAGCAAAACTTTCCTACTCACCGTTTAAAATCTCTGAACCAGCCAGCGGTCTTGTTGTGCTGTGCTCCGATGGCTTTTGTCACTACCAGTTGACGTTCGCTACATAACACAAAGAGGAAATGAAATAATGTATATTTATACAGCGAAATGTTCAACTTAACCTGAGGGTTTCAATTAAGTGACGTCTGCTAGCTTAATGCTAATACATGTAGCAAAACACTGAAGATGGAAATGATGGACCATAGACGTAAAGGTATTTGTAAACCTTCAAACCACTGCTACTTTACCACACACGGGGAGAAGCAACACATACAAATGCAGGGATTTAATTGGGAATTTTCTCTGCCATGGCTTCTTGCTCTTATTTACGATGTGTGGCTTCGGTGTTGTGTGACACGTTGCGTCACTAACTGGTTCTACAATGCAAGCCACAAAAAAATCAAATAAAAATCATTGCTTAATGAGATTTCAGCAGACCTGAGAAAATACAGTAATGGGCTACGGGGGGAGGGACGGATCCTTGTAGACAATTATTACTGCTACTCACTTCAATAGAATGTTAGGTGTTTATCATCTTCAAGGAAAAAACGACACAGTTACACTTCCCAAGAATACACACACACACACAGACAAGTATATTCTGTACGTAAATTTGAAGTGAATATGATTTTGCGTCGTTCTTCATCAGGCTGCGCGACTGAATGAGAACATGGCGCCCTCTTGTGGCCCCTCAAAAGAGACAGCCGTTGGAAACGCGCAAATTTATTGAAAAGCAGCCTTTCCAGACCTTTAAAAATCAGCAAAAGATAGCATTTCAAATAGCGCAGGCATACTGTGGCGTACAGCCAACGAGCTTGCTTGTTTCAGGACACCTGAACCCGACCTTCCCCTACGACGCGCCGCTGCGGACACCGCCGATGCGCCAACACAACGACTCGAGACAGTCCGGCCGGTCCAGCCCGGCCGTGAGCATGTACAGGCTCGACGGAGCGGCCCGCGGGTATGACGGATCGCTTCGCCCCAACGGATTCCCTATCTCTGATCAAGAGGTAAGTCGGACTAAAAATGTCCATCCGTCCGTCTGGTTTCGCAACTGCGTGTGAGACGTCAGTGTGTTCTGTGCTCGCCTTGCAGATGAGGATCCACAGGCCGCAGATCAGGTCATCGTGGGACGCCTGAGCGCCCCCCCTTTTCAAAAACAAGCACCTTAACGACCCAGCGGCAGCAACAACACTCTTCTTCGAAGGAAGCTAATTTATTGGATCTCTTGTCTTACAACATCTAAGCTGGAGAAATGAATTCTTTTGTCTGTAAAAGTAGCGATTTGCCATTCACGTAGTTGGAAAGTACGTGATCATCGCTTTGGAACATGTTTGTTGATTTATTTTATTTGGTCGGGACCATGCATGAATGACAATCAGCAAGAAAATGCACTTTGCACCCGAACCCTCAGACCCTACTCAGCCTGAACGCTCGCACGTTTTATTTCTGAATCAAGTTGGTGTCATTTTGTTTCTGTGCAGAATGCTTGCAAATATGCATTTGGGACTTTGTTCTACTCTATTGTTGCTTTTGAATGAAAAAAAAAAGCTGATTATCAAAGGCTCGTTTTTCTTCTGGCGACTGCGAACTGTGCTCACCACTTCAAATTCCCACAGCGGTCAACGAGCACACAAGTGGCGGTGCGGTCGGCATAAACCGGGGGTCGGCAACACGCAGCTCTCGAGCCGTATGCGGCTCTTTAGCGCCCCCCAGTGGCTCCCTGGAGCTTTTTCAACCTTCATTATGAGGCTTTTTATTTTTTTCGCCGCTCCAGACATATTTGTTTTTTGTTTATTTTGGTCCAATATGGCTCTTTCAACATTTTGGGTTGCCGACCCCTGGCATAAACGATCGAGTGCTAAAGTACTGTCGCCTCTCGGACGCACGCATGCAGCTGCCGCACTTTCACGCGGCAACACGGCGCAGGAAGACTAGTGTGTGTGTGTACTGTGTGTGTGTGTGTGTGTTCAGCAAGATGAAACGTTGACATGACGCCATTGTTGTCATTACACAATCACGCATTCCAATCAGATGGCGGAAGCCTGTCTGGGTTGCCATGTCAATTGAATGTGAGGGGGGACCTGAATCAGCAGCGGGAGGCGTCCTCACCCAATCACATTTCAAATTCGTTGACCCACGAGAATCATCAAATAATTCCATCTGCACACGTTATTAGTGCATTAAATCAACGGCCATTTTGAGACCCTTCTTTACCCTACCATGTGGAAAAAAATAATACATAGACACACCTGGGATTGAACGCCTGGATTCTTTAAAAAAAAAAAAAAACATTAAGAAACGTCCTCGGCACTGAATTGAGTTTATCTGCCGCATGAGAGCACATGCCATACATACAGAACTCACGGTCTTATTATTTTTAAGAAAACAAACAAACCTTTGGCAAAAATTAGGTCATTTTCTGTGACGTTAGACTACTGCCAAAGATAATACTGCAAACGTTCACAATTGAGAAGGAGCAAAAAAAAAAAAAAAAAATCATTAAACAAATGTTTGCAGTAGCAACACGGAGGTATTTTTCTGATTATTTTTATACACATGAGCTCATTGAGCAAATTTCTTTGGTTGGCTGCGTGCATGTTTGTTTGTTTGTTTTATTGAACATATATAAAACATACAATAACATGACAAAATGCAAACAAAAATTATGAAAGGAAAATAAAAGTAAAAGTAAGTAATACAAACATCATCACAGTTATATGTTCAAAGGAGTAGGAAGAAGTATACCACTTATCTAGTCCTACCCCTTTTTGAGCAATAATGTATATTGATCATTTCCAATACCAAAGAAAAAGAAGAAATCTAAATTTCATCAAATACTTTTACCCTTTTGTGTACTATGCTTATCTATTGATACACCTTTCGGTTTGTATATATGTATCATTATTCTTTCTACTTTTTATATCAAATGACTCATATTCATTATATATACCACATTTCTTGAATACATTCAATAAGTTGTTCAAAATCCAGAACAAGAACAAACCATAGTATTACTATATTTTATAAGTACCAGTATGTAAAATTTATCTTCTCAACTTTGTTTTATGTAGTTTTTTTGTACTAATCTTTTGAATTTGTTTTTGAACTCGTCCAAAGATTTACTCATTTTCAGATCCATCTCAAGCTTATTCCACAGATTAACTCCTATTACTGATACACATCTTTGCTTGATGTTTGTTCTTGTTCTGGATTTTTTGTATTGATTAATACCTCTTAGATTATAACAACTATCTCTGATTTCAAAAAGCTTCTGGATATTTTGACAAAGGAGATT